TAGCAGAAATGAGGGGAGTGCTCTGTGACTGATGGAGCTCCTTTGTCACTGACAGGGGAGCTGCTGCTGGCAGTTTGGGGCCAAAGAACAGTACAGATTACATTAACATCAGTCAAGCTGTTGTCAGACTAGTAGGACATAAATAGGACCTTATTGATGCATAATGCAACAACTTTTCAACTTGACGTTTTCTCAGTAATAGAATGAGAGAGTGAGTTTGTGGCTAAAATGGCAATATGCCAGAAAGGATTTGCAAATAAGTATATATATATATATATATATATATATATATATATATATATATATATATATATAGAGAGAGAGAGAGAGAGAGAGAGAGAGAGAGAGAGAGAGAGATGAGAGAGAGAGAGAGAGAGAGAGAGAGAGAGAGAGAGAGAGAGAGAGAGAGAGAGAGAGAGAGAGAGAGAGAGAGAGACATATAGATCTCTGGATATAATAGAGATCAGTCTCTTTGATTTTACTTTTTATAGGTGTTGTGTGTGAGTGAAAGGAACATTGTTCTTTTATTTTATGAAGTACTGAAAATATGTCTCCAAAGATCCAAACAAACATTTTGTATTTATTTGCAGAAAATTAAAATGGTCAAAATAACACACATACAGGTGTATATATGTCTGTCTGTGTGTGTATGTATATATATATATATATATATATATATATATATATATATATATATATATATATATATATATATATATATATATATATAATACATAATGCTAACTACAGCCAGGACAGCCAGTAAAGGTTTGACTCATTTCTGCTGTGATTAAATACAACCAGTTTACAATGGAGATGAACTTACTCCATTTACTTCAAGAATATTTGAAGGAGACCGTCTGTATGGGAATGGCAGTGGTTGAGTTCGAGGGTTTGTTTGCAGGAGTTAACAAAATAATCGAAACTATGTGTGCAGGAAATGGCATTTGGCAATTTTGTTGTCAAAAAGCCAGCTTGCGAACGTACTTTCTAATATTACCGTATCAGTTGTTATTAATTTGACCAGCTCACCACCACGTTTTCTCTACTTCGCTGAATATCATTTTGCTCTTAAAGTGCTTTGACAGCTTTGTAATGGAGAAAACAAAGCTTTTGACCTAGTCTGGCACAAGGAAAAAAAAAAAAAAAGACAAAAATTGCACTGTGCTGTTTGATCATTACTGACATTGCCCCTACTGTGTCTCTCCTCCTTCTTCAGTACAGTCAGGTTCACAGAGACTCAGAAAATACAGGTGCTGGTGGAGAAAGAACTGGTTTGCCCCTTAGAAAAATACCACTTTCCAGCCTTAAAGGGCCAGTGTGTTTTATGTGCTGTCATGAAAATTGACTCTTATGCACTTTGACATGGAAATCGTTTTTTAAGCAGCTGGAAATTGATTATACCCTTAAAAAGGATACAGTGCCTTGTAAAAAATATTTATACGTCTTGAACTTTTTCACCTTTTGTCACTTTACAACCACAAGTTGTTAGAGATTTTACTGGGATTTTACATGATAAGGGAGAAATACTCACGACATTCAGCATTTTCTCCATGTGGCATATGTTTGTATACAACTTCTTTTTTCCTGATATGTTTGAACAAAATCTGGTGTAGCCAACTACCTTCATCTTATTGGAGAATAGAGTCTACCTGTCAGTAGTTTATTCACACTAAAGAAAGGCCTTTTTTTAGAGAACATTGGTGAACAAAAATTATAATGAAGACAAAGAAACAGAGCAGACAGATCAAGGAGAATGTTGTGGAGATTTAAAGCAGACCTAGGTTTAAAAGCAATATTATTAGCTTTGAATAGCTCAGATCAGTGTTCAACTCATGTCTAAGAAAAACTAAAATTCCAAAGCAATAGCCGTCTGCCTGATTTAACAAGATGGGATCTAGGGATAACTTTGGAGCATAAATCTGTTGACAGCTGTGCAATCCACAATTGTGCCTTTTATGAAAGAATATAAAAATTGGTGAATATTTCAGGAAATCCGATCAAAGTGCTGCTGTCAATATGCAGCAAGAAATGTAGCAAGCACTTGGAACAAGGTTTGTGGTTGAGAATAAAGTGTAAAAAAAAGCTAAGGTATCCTGAATAGTATTGCAAGGCACTGTTTATATGGCCACAGAAAAAGCTCTTCTGTGAAAGAACCAGCTTATTGGTGTCTTTGTGGACAAACTGTAATTCATTTGCTTCAGAAGGGACAGTCTGGGAATTTCCTGACCGTCCTCGTCTTTCTCTGCGCTCTAATCTTTCTTCCTTTCCGTGTACACTCCTGAGGAAGCTCTGAGTTTGCGTGCTGCAGGCTGGGGGGAGGGAGGGTCAGAAACGGGGAAAGGGAGGGAGCTGAGGACAGTTCCCCGGAGTCCGGACACCAAGGCCCCCGGGCCTCTGCAGCTCATAAACAGATGTGTCCTTGTCCCCAGCCAAGCGCAGCCACTCATGGCAAAGCAGGGGCCCAATAATTGTGAAGAATTGAAAGCTAAATATTGGCTTTATCTCCTCAGTAATAAAAGGGCCATGAAATTGATTTAATGCTGCAGCGCTTCTCTTGGGTGGCTTCTTACAGCGCGAGCGCAAAACAATGAGCAGCAGCCATCTATTAATTAACCCACCTAATCCTGCAAAGTTAATCTCTCACCACAACTTTGCCCGCAACTAACTTCCGAGCCACTGGGTCTATTGGGGGTGTCATGACAATGGCGGTGAGGAGAAGATAGATTCAGCACTTAGGAAAAAAGGAGGATGGGGTGGAGAGTCGGTGTGCGCCGCTCCACAGAGCAACCTTGTGGGACGCTGTTGTTCGGATGTGAGGGTGCGTGGCCAACATTGGTACAGCGACAAAGTTAAAAACAGGCAACGTTTGAGCGGGGATTTTGGATTCAGCTGCAGCAGCAGCAGCACAAAGACGACTGACTTCAGTCGCCGTCTTCTTGGCTTTCGTCCACGCCGCTGCTGCTGTCGCCAGTTTCATATTCGCTCCCGAGCTGTCAGACAGTCGGCAGGGAAAGCGCGGTGTCTTTTTCTTCTTCACCTGCCCGCCGGTCGCAGCACAACAGCGCCTCTCACCCAACACGCTCGCTCGCCGACACGTCGTGTCCGCCGAGTTGTGAATTACCTCCTTCTCAGCTGGCTGATGAAAAGCTACGTGTTTTTCTCTCTGGCTGCGGCTCATCTGACCATGCCCTCTCACCCCCTCATCATCTCATTGGTCTTTCTATATTTTCTTTTTTGCAAGCCTCTCCTCTTCGAGAGGCGGCGGAACAAAGCAGGCTCAGAAAATAGGTCACCTGCTGGTGCTCCTTTCACCTCCACAGCAATCGAAAAAATGTATCCTCAAAGGTGTCTGGAAGCATTCAGAGAAAAGCCTAAACCCCCAGAAATGCGTCCTGGCATGGAGAAGAAATCTCCACATTTAACTGAGACAAAAAAACTATGTAAAAAAAACAAAAAAAACTCCAACTGTGGGAATTTGGAGATCTTTTTTTTTTCTTTGCTAGTGAGGAAAAAAATCTCCTGTGGAGATAATTTTAGGAGGCTGATTAGGCATAGACGGTGTTGAGCCCAGAGTGAGGAATCTCATCACCACCGCTAATGACATGCCATTCCTGTGCTGAGAGAAGAGCGCGAGCCCTGGGCATGGACTAGCCTCTCTCTCAGCCACCTCTAGCAGTCGTGTTCATTAGGGCCAACGATGTAATTACAATTCACAGATCCTGCTTCGGCTTAATTACACTCTGATTATTGGGCTGATATTTGTTGAAATTATCACACCCTCAGAAAGTGGAGTTATATTTGCAAGAAATTAAACCTTATTTCATAAGTGTGTCTTAAACCGACAATTTGGGACTGATTTGTAAACGTGAATATAAACACGTTAAAGCCTTGGAAATGGGGAGGAAAAAGAGAGCGGCGTTCAATCGGAACATAAGCTCGCAGATGTAAATATGTGAGCGACGGATCATCCGACAGATGCCTCAGTCTGATTGTAGGACGTGTTTTTTCTTGCTCTCTACCGAATAGTCCCAATAGAAAGCAAAAAAACGTGGAATGAATTACCCTGGATTATTCAGCTTCCATTGAGAGTCGCCATAATTGGGAGTGCTCGGAATAAAATTCACGAATTGTCCCCGGAGGTGGGGCTATTATGGCCGTGTCTGTGCAGCTCAGAAGTGTCTATAGTCGTTTCTGTGAACAATGTGACATAAACAGCCTCAGAGTCAAATTATTACACAACTGTAATCAGGTACTGAAGTCAGTTTGCTCACAGTTTTCTGCTATACAGCATAAATTTGCCCTTTTAGGGGTGGAAGGTAGCTGAATCTAAAAGATGAAAAGATAAAACGAAAAAGAAATACAGTACATTAAATAGGTATTTTCCCCTAACAGGTATCGGTTGTTTTTTTACTTTTCGTCTGATTCCAAAAACAGATTTTGATATCAAACAAAGATGAAGTGTGAAATGTAAAAAGCTGTTTGATAAGTAATAATTTCTTTGAATTAAGATATTAAAATATTGAGGTCTTTTAGTTTACGTATTGTTTAGCATGTTTGGATAACTTCCTTCTCTTAACTTCTTGGTTTGCTCAGGTCGTTCTTGTGTGATTTGAAGAATTGCTAGACAACATAAAAAATGCAATGTAATTTCATTCATAGTGGTCTTTAAAGGTCTTAAATTTGAGTTGGTGAAACCTGCAGAAACCCTGTCCAAAGAGTGCCAGAACCCCTCTAGAGCAGGTGATCCATTAAAACCACCTCCTGCTTTCACACACACACACACACACACACACACACACACACACACACACCAGGGTTCTGGATGTCACTCTGGGCTCTTCAGGTGTCTGCTGGTAGACGTCGCTCCGACATGAACCCCCGGCTCTTGAGGGCTGTAGCCTGATCCCACGGCTCAGCGTTGGCATCAATGTTGTCCCGTCGCTCATCCCGCGTGCAGGAAGTGATGCGCGTGTGTATGTGTGCGTTTGTGCCCACAGGCTTCCCAGCGACGGCATACGGACCGGTGGCGGCGGCGGCGGTAGCAGCAGCGCGTGGCTCAGGTAGGGGGGCCCGTGGAAGAGGCGGCTACTTGGCGTACCCACAGAGCACAGGGCCAGGTAAACGCTCTGTCCATGTTCTGTGTGGCTGCTGCTCTCTTCAACTTCTCCTGCTCTGCTTCTCCCCATAGACGTAATCCTCTAAAACCTTAACACAAATAGCAACGACTTGTAGCGTAGACTAATTCATAGCTTGACATGTACATTAAAACAATGCAATTTGCTTAAAAAAATAATCTGCAATTTAATTTGGGGTTTGCAAAAAAAAAATAAAAAATCAGCCACAACAGAGCAAGTCTTGTACTAAATGTTCCCAGATAATTAGATTTCTATAAGTAATAGATATTTTTTGTCGTTTTAATTTGGCTCGGTTAATAAATTACAGGCAATTCTTGAAAAAATAACCATAATAAAATATATTAAGTGATTTAAACTTATTCTTTGAACAACTTCGATTGTAAAAATGTTACAAATTGACCATGAGACAAAAGTATTATAGCTTCTGTCTTTGCAAGTAAATATGACAAGTAAATATGATAGATATGTTTTTTATCATTTGGCATCTTTTTATCCTTTAATTTACCATAGCTATAGTTCAAGTTATAGTTTATCATCATGTTGCACATTGTTTCACTGTGTTGGTGGGTTATCTCCGTAAAGGTTAAAGCATTGAGGAAATACAACATCAGACAAGTCAGTCATTCTACTTTTTTTCCATTGTCTTCTTTGTAATTGTTATTTTTATATCATATATATCCATATTTTAGAGTTGATATTTGCAAGAATACTCAAACGTTTTCATAATACAACCACTAGTGTCAATGTGTCTTGTTGGAGTTTGTTGTAATAGACTAATACAAAGTAGTGCATAATTTTGAAGTGAAAGAAAAATGAAGCATGGTTTTTCTTTGCAAATCAGAAAGTGAGCTAAAGAGTCTGGACTGAGTCAATATTTTATAGAACTACTTTTCACAAGTTACATCTGCAACTAATGTGGGGTTTTCTTTTAGTGACACATTGGTTGATTTAAACGCTGTGTTATTAGGACTGTTGTCCTGCTAGAAGGTGAACTTCCACTTCACTCTCAATTCTTGTTCAGCCTCTAACAGGTTTTCTTCCAGGATTGCTCTGTATTTAACTTTGTCCACTTTCACTTTAGCAATGGCGAGCTTTATCCTGAAGAAGCCCTTCCCCACAGGATGTTACTGACACCGTGGTGTTGAGTCCATGTTCATGTTGAGCATTGGAGTTTGTTTTATAAACCTTCAACTCTTCATCAACTTTCTCCCTGATGTTACTTAATGTTGATCTAATGCATCATATCAAGATAAAAAGATGAAAAAAAAATGATGTTTGTGGTTGCAAGGATGCAAGGCGCTATAATTACTGACAAGGTTTTACTGCTATCTTAGTGCCTTAGAAGTAAGCACAGCTGTTTAAACGGAGATTAAGTGCATTTATATTTACTCCAGTAAACCTTGCTGCCTTCAGAGACAGATATCTGCAGCGACATTTGGTACCAAAAACAGGATGCTGGTTTCTTTCCGTCTTAAACAGCATTGATCAGCGTGTCCACTTCATTTAGACATCCTGCTTTTCCCACCCTTACAACTGTAGATCATTCAGTAGCTGTCAATAACAGCTTCCCCTGACTGAACACACAGCCTGCTGCCTTTAGAAAGGGGGGTGTCTTCACTAATCAGCCATACCATTAGGAACTTACTGGTTTGTGCTGCAGCTCAAAAATAAGTCAGCAGATGACCTCTGTTAACATCGTGTGATGTGAAATGAACTCCCTGAAACACGGAGAACTGCAGCAGCAGCGTATGAAAACTACACGTCTGCAAATTCCCGCTCTTGTCCCACTTCGAATTTAATTTAAATCAACAAAGGGAATGTCAGAGGCCAATCAGGTGCTATTTCTTTTGCGTCGGGTGGTTTGATTTAGCATTTTCAAAACAAACAATTTGGCCTGACAATCGCAGCGAGCATTACTAAGAAGCAGGAATGTTGATTTGGGGTTAGCAGCAGCCGCGAACCAGGAGGCTTGATGGCAGCCATTATGTACAGTTTAATTCTGACAGCTGCAAATGGAAGGAAGACAAGTAAATGATTATGAACAGAGGCTGAGAGGTGGTGCACTAGAGGGGAAAACAGTGACATCATGGGCCTTTTTTTTAGAGCGCTTAAGCGGTCGAGGGAATATCAAGAAGGTCCATCCTTTTCTCAGAACGAAACAAAACTGTCTTTAAAAACAGCAACAATTGGGTATGAAAATAGCTGCATCAGAATGACAGATTTAAGAAAATCAATATACAACTTCTGTTTTTAACTTTTTGGCCGATATTGATTTATTACGCTGCGTTGTATCCTTTGTGATGAGGCTGAAGGAGTCATGCGTGAAGCTCTCAGCACTCTAACAGACACAAGCCAACAGGAGGATACAGATTGCTCAGGCTTGACCGTCCTACGTTTGTCTATCTGGGGAAATGCGGCTGCATCTCCGTCCCATCTTACGGTTTTATTTGCAGTGGTCGGCCCCGTGTTGGCTGAGGAATGGCAATTCTCTTAGTCTTTTTTTTTTTTCTTTTGCTAAATTTTCTAAATTTTTTGTCCAAACGAGGGTTTTTTTCTGTTGTTGGTGGAAAAATAGGGTCCTTTTTAAAAGTGGGGATTCTTTGTGCTTTGACTCCACCTACAGTTCCCACAGAGCACCACAGGTTGTATATATACATATGTTTGTCTACGTTGAGCCAGTTTGATAGAAGCAGAGTCTGAGCGGTGTCAGCTGTTAAGTCACAAGAAGGCCGGGAAAAGACATCCTCACCCATAAGGATTTTTCTTGGGTGTATGCAAATATATGACAATGACCCTTTTTGTGCAGCGTTTTTGTGTGCAGTGGTGCTTGTCTGCACATTGTCGCCGATTCGCACAGATTGGCGTTGGCATGTGGGACACATTTTCCATCGCTGGGAGAGGGCACTTGCTCCACTTCCAGTGTTCAACAGACAAAAATGACAGCTGCTCACTTCCCTTGTCTGTGACAGACCGCGGCTGATGACAAGGTGTACTTTGGATGTCTCTCTGTGTCCTGCTTCTTGCAGAAAACACACCCCTGAACACTGCCGCAGTGGTGTAAAACACCAACAGCCACTAAAAGATGTGGCTCTTGCTGCATTTTCTATTAGATCCTATTGCTCACTTCTGTCTTTGATTAATTTGTGCCTTCTATCAACACCTTATGTGCCTCTTGCATACTTGTGCAGTCCCTTGCCAAAAGTAATAACACCCCGTTAGCCTGGGATTTAGTGTAGTGAACCAACACAAAGTGGTGCAGAATCAGGAAATGGAAGTAACGTAATACGTGATTTTTAAATGATTAAAATCCGAAGTGTTCTGGTCAGTTGAGGCCAAAATTGTTGCATATTTTCAAAATGATATAAAACTTACCCTCACATGGCTTTAAACTGACTATCCCCACATTGGTGGCAGCATCATCCTGTGTGGATGTATTTCTTCAGCAGGAAGAGTGAAGCTGCTGTGGAGACAGATTTTAAAAATCAACAGGTGTGAAGTAGGCAAAAAAGTGAAAACAGAATAGCTACAAATCTAGTGTGTTTAAGAGGTGCAGCAATGAAAACCTGAACTTCAGAAGAAACCCAAACTGTTCCTTCTCATACTATCAAACTCAACTGGGTTGTATAGGCTGTATAAACAACAAACAGGCAGCTGATAAAACAGGATGAAGAAATACTGGTTGAAATGCACCTCAAGAGATTCACAGCTAACTGTATTTCTACATAATATTGACTCCGGGTGGCTGGAGTCAGATACATCCCACACTTTTCAGACTTTCATTTGTGAAATATTTAGAAGCCCATATGTTATTTTTCTTTCATTTCACAATTCTGCAACATTTTTATGGTCCCCTTTCTTATAAAATACTAATAAAATATATTAAAGTTTGGTGCTATAAGGTAACCAAATGGAAAACTGATACAGGGGAAATAACAGCTTAAGACACAAAAATAAGTGCTTGAGCTAATACATTAAAAATGTGTTGATGAGAAAGATGTTTTGTTTTATAAAACCCAAACTTAAGGCGTTTGTGTAACTATTGCAACAGTGAGGCCTTAGTCTTGGTTTAAAGAGGCGTTTTGCTGCCCTGATCTCCATCGTGTAGCCCGTTGCACAGCAAGGACCGGTCCCGAAGCACTTTTTGTAGACTTGTTTCAGAGTCTGTAGCTTTAGGCAGGAGGGAGATCACAGAGATCTGGCTACAGCACAGAGTTTATCATTGCCTGGAGCTAGAGAGGAGCTAACCCCGTACTCTGCTTTGTAATCTGCCGTTGCTGTTTTGAATCTGGTTTGAGCTACAGGGAGGCCAGATTGGCAAAGTATGGTGGCTGGGATGAAGTTCTAGTGCAGGTAGCAACATGCTGAATTTATGTACTCCAGCCTGAGGTTCAATGCTAAGAAGTCTAATTTACATAAATCAGTATTAAATAATAGTCAACAGCTATGTGATGACTACAATATGTGGTGAGAAATCATCTAAACCACTCGGCAACAGCATCCAACTCTTGGAGCCGACTGACATTAACTATCTGATGAAAAGATGGTTTCATATTCTGAAGCTCTCTCTTTATAAAGTGAGTCTATTTGCAAACTTTCAGATAAAAAGTGAGATGCAGATGAATACTGACACTTCAGAGAACTTCAGAGTTGTGTCAGTTGTCTTCACAGATCCAGAGTTTACCTTTAGCGTATTCAAAACAAATCCAGCTGCACTCTGCTGATTTCCTTGTTCCGATTCCGAGTTAGCAGTGGAGGAATTGTAAGGTTAAAAAAAATAACAAAAAAAACATGTGAGTGAGAGAATCTTCACACCATTAGAAACCCATTCTAATGATGATTAGATAGCTGCTGCGTATCTTTGTCCTTCTCTCTACTCATCTTCCACACGCTTTTTTTCCCTCCACTGACAGAAAGAAGAAAACTTATGTGACAGACATTTTTAAATTAAGATTAATATCAATTCCCTCCCAACAAGTTCTGTG